CTTTGCCTTTTTTATGAGCGCTGTTTTCAGATGTATTCAGGTGACGCAGGTACCACTATCTCGCTCGGATGTAGCTCTTTGGTATTCCAGTACACCCATGAGGTATTTCTCCGTTCTCCTGTTAATGGTCTTATCTCAGTAAGAAACAGCAGAGCAGGAACTCACTCCTGCAAATCCACCCTTCCACGGGCAGCAGTCCTCAAGTGCTGTGGCCTCAGGACTCCCGGGAGGACCTACCAACTACTGAGCACCTCAGCGAGCCTTTATCTTTGTGGGTTTCAGCTACTGATGTTTCTCATACCAGAAATTAAACTGAGGAATGTAAAAGTATTTATTCATTCATTTCAAAATTACACCAATCAATCCATATCATAAATAACATATTTTCATTTTTAAAATTTCCAAAATCCATTGTATGGAAATTTTAAGAACGTGGGTGCTGCTACTTAACTAGGTATTTTAATTAATATAACTTTGAGTCAGTTTGCAAAGACACAGAATTAAACACACTTGCCTTAAATGAAACACAAGGCCATCATTTTTGATGACAGAAGCATTTCGAGATCCTGGGTTCTCTTTCACGTCAACCCCTTTTATAGTCACAGGCCTGAGTGTTTATCTCCATGAGAACCAGCTTGTGCTGGCTACAGACATTAGGCAGAGACAAGGAGCAAACTACACAAAACGGAAAGCAGTCCACTTCCAAACATCATCTCATCCGCTTCAAGAATTTCAGACCCTCAGCAAGTCTACAAGTAACTCAGCTCCCATTCCTTGCTCCTCCCCAGAGGAGGGAGAAGCTGACGAGGATGAGCTGGCACAAGGTCATCACCTGGGTCGGTGTCCAGGGGGTTAAAGCTTTCCATCTCACCAAGAAGAGGTCGAAATGCTGAGCAACAAAGAGTCTGGCTCGCTGGTCTCCAGGCCTCCACAGGAGCAAGTGGCCACTGAGGGCGGAAACCTGGGCTGAGCCTGCGGACAGCAGGATGGAGGTGACAGTGACAAAAGCCTTGGGAAAGGACAGCAATGGAGAATCTAGTGGCAGTTAGGACACAGAACTGTTGGCCTTAGAGACCAACTTGTGACTAGATGCAGCATTATATTTCTTCTAATAGTCAGCTTTTTTTGCATACAGATTAAGAAAGGCTGGTGCCAGTAATTTAAAAGGGAACGTTTAACGTTCACGGAACCAGAAATAACTGTGTAGACGGAATGCTGAAGATTCTTCTAGGGCTAAGAGCGAGTGCCTAAGCCAAGGACACCGTCGGCAGGGGCCCCTCCCCAGGCCTGGGCCTCAGAGCATGCTGGACACCACCCACCTGCAGCACACTGCGGAGAGGAGCTGACGGGGCTGTCCAGGCCAGAGCTGCTCCACAGCCACAGAAAACCCCGCACTGAGGTGCAGGCAAGCCAAGGTGGGTTCAAAAGGAGAAGTTAGGGGTTAGATGCCCTTAGGGGGTGTTGAAGAAGGGTGCATACAGACGCTGGGTAGCCAAACGAGGCGCTGTGCCAGGAATCCAGGCATTTCCTCTGAGTGCCAAGCCCACCCTGCCATGCCCAGCTTCTGATCCTGGCACTGGGCCTTGAAGACCACATGGCTATCCTGACCAGGGGCTCGATGTTCAGCGCTGGGCACGGGCACTGCTTCCCAGGTGGGATAGGCTGGCGTGTGAGGGTCCCACATCGTTTTTCCTGGGGACTGGGGACAGCCACCAATCCTCACCCGGGAACTGCTTCACTCTCTTACAGCTGTGATGGACTCACGGTCCTGTCAGATAAGGCCCCTACTCTGGGCATCTAAACCTCCCACACCCACTTTTCCAGACTCAGCCCCTTTCCACACTGATGACCTTAGCCTTGTCTTTTCTGTCTTTCAGCAGCTAACCATCTTTTCCTTTGTTAACAATTCTGTATACTGAATTTTTCCTGTTCAAATACTGCTGTGTTTCCTATCTCCTGGCTGGATCCTGACTGATTCCACCTGAGTTTGTACAAAGTAAAGCCCTGAAGTCCCCGTCACCACTAACAATCTGGAGTCACGTGAAGCTTGCTACCTGACACCGCTGCACCCTCCAGGGGCCTCCTCTGCTCTCTCCCTCCCTGTGCCAACTCTTCTTCTTCTTCTAATTTCCAGGCCCTTCCTGCATCCCTGCTGGCCCCTTCTCTCAGCACAGGCCAGCGTCCAGGTGGGACCCTGATGACTGTGGATGGTCACGGCCACCTTCGAAGCTCTGCAGACCTGCCCAGAGGGACGTCCGGACCCATCTTGTGGCCACATCATGACCCCTGGAAGCTTCTGCTGCTCTAACGGGGGAGGCTATGGGATCAGACTGACCTAACTACGCAGGAAGGCCCACTTGGCAAAGTAAACAGCAACAGATAAACTTCAAGAGATTACAGCAGGAACCCATAAAACACAACATGTTACTACCTATTTATTTTTAGACAGTGTATCACGCCACATTATGAAGGCCATTCCAAATCACACACAGGAGTGTCTCTGTGGGAAGCGACATGGAGTGCCAGGGCTGTCTTGGTCCCAGCACTTACATGCCCTGTGACTGCAGGCAAGTCACCTGACAGCCAAACCTCAATCTCCTGGCCTGATGGCCTCAGGATTCCTATCAAGGTAAGGATGCACTCTGCAAAGCAGTGACGACTGCACCATTATTTCCAACCCTGAGGACATGCCGGCTCCCCTTCTGCTCTGCTCCAGTGTGGATGGGAAGAGCCAGGACCCTCATCTTCACTGCAAAGAAGCCCAAGACTGGCATCACAACCCCGCCTACACACCCATGTCACCCGCCCCAAGGAGCAGTCCATTCACTGGTGGGATGGGGATGACAGCGTTATCTGTCTCTCAGGTCCCCTAAGGACCATAAGCATCACTGTCAATCAGCTAAAATAGCATCATACTCCCCACTGTCCAGGTCACTTTGAATTTCAGGAGAAAGCAGGTGAAGGTGCCCTGTAATCCACAAAGAACCACATAAACACTAGTGTCAACCTTCACTACACCACAGCAGTGGAGAAAACACAGTTTTAAACATGTATTCAAAGAGATGAGGAATCTCCTGATGCCAAAGAACATTTTCACCACTTTCCAGGGCTCCTCACCTCCCCATCCCTGCCCAATACAGGCAGCTCACACTGAGGCCAGCTCCCTGGCAGTGGCCCTGCACCACCACCTACGGGCTCCACGGGGAAGTGAGGGGAGGCCCAGGGCAGGCAGGAGGGCACCTCCTTGAGAATCCAGCCCAGGGCTCAGATCAAGAGACAGGAAAAGACAGCAGCAGCACGCGCAGTTGCAGAACGACTCCTCTAAAAAGGAGGCTGAGGCCAGGTGTGGTGTGGTTCATGCCTGTAATCCCAGCACTCTGGGAGGCTGAGGCAGGAGGATCGCTTGAGCTCAGGAATTCAAGACCAGCCTGGGCAACATGGCAAAATCCCATCTTTACAGAAAATATAAAAATTAGCCGGGCATGGTAGCCAGTGCCTGTAGTCCCAGCTACTCACGCGGCTGAGGTGGGAGGATCACTTGAGCCCGGGAGCAGGGGCTGCAGTGAACTACGATCGAGCCACTGCACTTGAGCCTGGACAACAGAGCCAGACCCTGTCCCCAAAAATAAAGAGGATGCTGAAAATTCATATGATTACAAGTGTTTTAAAAAAACACAATTATATGCTTACATACATCAAAATATTATCAGTGATCATTTTGAGGAGATAAAATGAGAAATCTCTCCTTCCTTCATTTTTTAAATTTTATTTTATTTTAGAGTCAGAGTCTCGTTCCGTCACCCAGGCTAGAGTGCAGTGGCTGCAACATAGCTCACGGCAGCCTTGAACTCCTGGGCTCAAGCGAGCCTCCTGCCTCAGCCTGCAAAGCACTGAGTTACAGGCATAGCCGCAGCTTCTTCCTAGCCTTTAAATGCTCTCTCAGGTGCCACATTTCATCATGGAAAACACTAGCACTGGGTGGGGGAATTGAGTAGAAATAATTGTCAAACATGGCCTTTCCTACCCCCCGGCCCTGCCCACCCAGTCAGCAGCCTTAGAGGGTGTTCTTAGGATAGTCTCAGGATGTGAACAAACACTAAAAAGGTGTCTTTACATCGTAAACGGCCAGAGTAGTTTCTTTGAAACAAAGGAAGCTAAGTGCCCACCCCCATCACCTGTCAGAACGGCCCTGGCTCCAAACAGAGCACCCACCGCACAGCCCCACACAACAGCACCACCTCCTGCTGGAGGAAGTCCTTCCAGAGGGTTCCCTGCACCCAACCGCACAGGCACAGCCCCGCACAGTGCCGCATGGCAGCACTGCCTCCTGCTGGACAAAGTCCCTTCCAGAGGGTTCCCAGCTTTGCTCATTTACTCTCTTTCCTGCTCCAACTGAGCACCTAAAGGAAGGCAGGGCCCCCAAAGGGATGCTGCTGGGTCCAGGTCTTCGAGGCAGCACTACACACCATGAGGTACCCCTTGGTGAGCAGGCAGCATGCGGCTCCCAGGGCCCACTGCAGAGTCCAGCCGGCGTTTTCCACAGCAGGATATCCCCCATGGAGGCTCTCGGTGCTTCAAGAATATTCTCATCTCAAGAGGGATGTGGGACACTGGGATGAAGATTCTGGGGTCAGACCTAAAATGGGCTTCAAGGGGCCACAGGGACAGAGCAAGGGAGGAGCAGGAAGGGGAGGAAGGGCCTTACCCTGAGCTCTAAGATGACAACTTCCCTCTCGCCGCCACCTCTCCTGCCCAGATGTCCTGCCCAGAACCAGCCATCAGAGCCAGAACCAGAACCAGGGACTCCAACAGGGCAGGGGGGGAGGGGTCCCAGCAAGACACAGTCCGCAGCCCAGAGGCAACGCAGACACCCTGTGATGGCCACAGAGGCCACAGGGCCAGCCAGAGGAAGCCAGGACTGTGCTACCTGGTGACTGGGAGCCGCCTCCCCATGGCTGCTAAGTGAGGAGGTTGGGCTGAGCGGCTTCTGGCAGGCTTACCTTTTTATCTTCCTTAGTCTTTCGAACAGTTCGATGGGGACCAAAAATGTTTTGCATTCCAAAGGCCTTCCTGGACCACTCCCTCTTGGGAGCGCTCAGCGGGGGCTGCGCGAAGCTGCCCTCCACCCTGTAGCGGTCCGCGGGGATCTTGCTCATAGGAGGGGGCAGCGTGCCGCAGTTGACGCTGGACCAGCCGTCGGTGGAATCTGTGTAAGACTCCTGGTCGCTGGCATGTCCGCACTGCCACTCCCGGAGCACGTGAACCGGGAGCCAGCGCTGGTTGAAACCACAGCTGGCGCCCACGGTGCCCCTCTTGGAAGGGGGGACTGAGCTCCTCAAAGAAGCTGGAGGCACCTCCACAGGGGAGGCCGGTCCTAGGTGCTTGTTTAGGTCCCGGAACCTGTCAGTCTGATGAGCGGCCTCAAATGGGGGGCTCCCTTCAGAGTCCGGACAGAAGGGTCCAGACCAGGAAGCACCCCAGGGCTGGGTACCCCTCCCACCCACACCGTCCCACGCGCTGCCTCCGGGGCCGTGCCTGCTTGAGCTCCCACCCAGGTCCACCACAAGGACTCGGTTGCTCTTCTCCTCCTGGTGGAAGTTCCCGATGCCGCTATCACTGTTGCTGCTGGTGCTGTTGTTCTGGTGGGCATCAGCGTCCCCGTCCAGAAAGGCGCGGGCCCGCATGCCCTCAATCAGCTCACCCATGTCTCGGTACAGGACAGAGATGAACTGCAGGACAGGGAGGGAGGACGCCGGGAATTCCAGACAGCCATTGGTGTCCGGGTCAGCCGTGCACTCAAACCCAAACCGCCGAGCAATGCCTTGGTGGATCTTGTGATTAAACAAGTCTGGGTCCACCATGAATACATGGCAGGAAGTCCGCAGGGCGCCCTCCTCCTCCTGGGCCAGGCTCCCATCATCATTCGTCTGCATGGTCACCAACCCGAAAAATCGCCGGTCGTCCGGGCACACGGCGCTGAAGGCCAGCTTCTCGGCCGGGTACTCGGCCACGACCCCAGCCTTGTCAGTGCTCAGCTGCACACAGTCGTGCATGATCTTCATGGTCACCAGCGAGTGAATTTTCTGCTCTGCCCGCAGGCGCCGCATGCAGCCACGGATGGCTTGTAAGCTGTCGGACTCCAGATTGGAGCTCGTGGAAGGAAGTTCAATGGAGCCTAAGTAGCCCACGATCATCGCCACATTTAAAATACTTGCATCCAATGCGAAATCGTCATGACTTTCTAGTCCAATGCTGAAAACCGAATCATCATGAATAACTTTCGATATTTCCTCCTTAGAAAGCATGTTGGGATTTGGATTATTCATACTTTCATGTCCAACATCAAATCGAGCTGCGGCCGACTCCGAAAGGGATCTTTGTTTCAATTTCAAGGGCTCTGAACTGCTGGCACAAAGGCTCGGGTTTTCAAAAATCATATTGAAAATTCCACCAGACTGCATTTCCTCCACGACTCGCTCTGCTCTGTTTATACCTAGTGCTTTAGAATCCAGCTTGGGTTTCAGCCAGCCTTTTCCTTCATAGAGTCCCCCTTCTTCGTCACTGGAACAGGATTCGAGGCGGCCGATGCCTTCAGCAATCACCATGTGCAGGACACCAGAGCACTTCCCAATTAATTTCACTACATCTTCATGAGACGCTTTTTTCACATTGATTTCATTGACAGCAAATATCTGGTCTCCAGCTCGGAGGCCCACGAAATCCGCAGGGCTCCCTCTCATGACGCAGCTGAGCACACAGGGCGCCTGTCCCGAAAGTGTGAATCCATAGCCGGCCCTCCCCCGGGCAACCTCCACACTCCGCACCCGCGGGGGCGCCGGCCCAGGCAATGGGCGCTTGGACGCCTCCCCAACTCTAAACATTCTGATGAGCTTCCAAGACCAAGAGCACGTCTCATTGTTCCCGTGGAGCCATACTTGAGGGAATGCTTGATGCTACCATGCTTGCTTCTTCAAACAGTGCCCTAAGAAAGAAAAATGAACAGCTCATTATTAAAGTCCATCTTTCTCCACTGCTCACTGGTATTACCTAAACACAAAAACATAATTCATAATAAAAACCACCGCAGAAAGCACCTCTAAGTGTCTATAGATAATAAATCTTCAAGTCAGGCAAAGAAACTTCCTTTCGGAGTAGAAAATGTCTCCCACAATGGCTACCTTGTCACTGCACGAGTTCCCGTTCCTGCCCGGCAGACCCACCAACCCAGCGTGGGCGTGAGGACACAAGACTGCTTCCCCTGCTGCTTCCACACCCTGCTTGGATGGAAAGAGCCCCTTGCTACTCAGTGTCGTCCGTGGACTGGCAGCCTGTAGGAAAGGCAGACTCTCGGGCTCCACTCAGAACAAACACACCCAAACCCACGTTCCATAGGACAGCAGAGTCCAAGCGTGAGAAGCAAGGCCTGCTACAGGCTTCAGGTTCAAAGGCACCTGCAGAACAGAGTCTAACCCCTTAGTTGATTACAAATCCCCTCACACAGAGTTTTCCCTCAGGAGAGGGGTCACCTAATATTCCATGACCCTCCCACATTAATTTATTTTGAATATACTGTGTGGGGGAAAGCACATTACCCTGAAACAACCTCAATCAATACTGCAGAGGCCACCCAACAGGCTAGATAAAAACCACCACCAAAAAAAGCAAAGAAACATCAATATTAACTCAATTCTTCCAGGGGGTATGACTTTAAAAGTATTGGTTGTCATTAAGAACAAACTTGTCAGGGGTTCCCGGACCACCCCCAGGCCAGTGATTCCCAGGACTTAGTACAAAGGTGCACTCACAGCTGAGATTCATTAGAGCGAAAGAATTCCACACAAAATCAGCAGGGGCAGAGGCCCATGGGGCGATGTCCTGAGGAAACCTGGCCCGAGCTTCCAGAATCCTCTCCCGGTGGGGTCGCGCAGGATGCACTGAGCTCCCCCCAGAGTGAGCCGTAACAGTGTGTGCAGTGTCGTCACCAGGGAAGCCCACCGGAGACTCGGTGCCAGAGTTTTGACTGTGGGCTGGGCACATGGGCACTCTCTGCCTACCTCGCACCCAGACTCTGGACTCCCAGAGGGAAGGCAGGTTCTCAGCACAAACCCTGTTGCCCACACAAGCAGCTGAGCACAGGGAGCCCCTCCTCAGTGAGGACGGTGGGCACCGTCCTGATACCACTCAGGGGCCAGCCTGGCACACAGGCCTCTCAGGATGGTCTCGGGCCTGCTGTGTAGTCTCTCCTGCAAAACTCTTTAAAGATCACTTGAAAAAGCAATACAGTAAGTGGTGATGTTGTGAAGATGCAAAATAGAACAGAGGTTATGTTTTTTAAAGAAATAATTGTTTTAAAGGTATTTATTAGAAGAGATTTTTGTGTCTTGGGATACAGTTTCCAGCAACAGGATCATAAACAGATTTGAAGTAATTTACACACACCAAAGCTACAGAACTAGATAAAGTGGAAAGGCTATTACTGGGTGACTCCAAGAGCGGCTTCTGTGATGACAAACACGGACATACAACATGCGCACTTAGTAAAATTACGTTTTGATAGAGAAGAGTCAAAAATGAATATAAATTACATTACTCAATATCTAAGTAGTACTATATTAATAATTTAAATATTAGGACTGGGCATTTAACTATTTAATGTTCATCATTAAAAAATAAATAAATAAATGTAAAAGTTGGCCAAGAAACATCCTTGGGGATCTTCTCATTGGATCTCCTTAAGAGGTGTGACAGGCTGGCTGATGGCCCCTGATACACCCACGTCTTCACTCCCAAGCTTCTGGATGGCTCCTCCTATCCACATGACCTCGTGAAGGCTCTGGAGATGGGGAGAGTGTCAGGTGCGCCCATGTGAGCCTGGGGTCAGAGCCAGAGGGGATGGCCATGCGGGGAAGGAAGCAGAGACCGCAGGAATTCAAGGACGGGTCTCGAGCCCAGGCAGACGGGCAGGCGGTCGCCTCCAGAAGCTGCAAAGGTGAAGGAAGCAGACTTAAAGCCGCCAGAGGAACCAGCTCTGCCACATCTGCCATCAGCCAGGTCACAGTGACTGCAGACATGAGGCCCCTGAAAATGCAGGAGAATTAATGTGTGTTGTCTTAAGCCCCCCAGTTTGTGGTAATTTCTTTCAGCAACCCCAGGAAACAAATACAAGGGGGAATCACTTTATCACAGGTGAGGCGAGAGGGAAAGCAGGACATGCGTGAAACGGTCTCACTAAAGCACACTCGGAAAAGCATCTGGCTCATGGTAGATGTCACACAACAAAGGTGCTGTTGTTCCCGTTTCAGCAAATGCCAGCTATCACTGTGAACGGCCCCAGGACAGCAGGTCATGAAGCCTTGATGGCTTCCTCAAGGAACAGAACACCTCTTGGCTTTCTCCTCAAACAGGAATAGATACTGCCTCAATGACAGACATGACTTCCCAGTTTATTCACACCATCCGCCTCACACTGTGTGACATAATGATGGATAAGTATTCTGTGCAGTCCACTCAATTTTTCTACTAGACTCTTACTGTCATGTGCCTCTGCTTATTAAAAAGAAATGGTTTGTAATTCATATAAGTAATATCTTATTATCTATAATCACATTTGTTTTTATTTTTTAGAGACACGGTCTCACTCCATTGCCCAGGCTGGAGAGCAGTGGCACAGTCATTGCTCAGTGCAGCCTCAAACTCACTCCTGGGCTCTAGCCATAGCGAGCACACCCCCATACTCAGCTAATTTTTTTTTGGAGAAAACTGTAAAACTATATTGAGATATTTTAAGTCACGTATCTAATATAAAACCAGTTTGCATTGGTTCAGCTTGTCTTTGTTGAAACCTGTGGTTGCCCTTCACCTCCTTCTGGCAATTTACATTGCACTGATTTTGGCAGAAACTTCCCCTGGACATCAGGACCATTTCCACATTCATCCCAGTCTTTGAGACAGCTCCCGGAGATCAGCTTCCCGGTCCAGCACAAGAATTTCAGCGGCACTGTGATCTTCCTCTCTCCCGGCCAGGTGCAGGACCCGACCTTCAGGGTCCCTCTTATTGAGGCTGTTCACTGCTGGGCTCAAGCCCAGGCCCAGGTAGCTCAGGAGGCTGCAGATACCGTCTGGGTCTAAGCCTACATGCTGATCTTCCTTGCCAACTCATATTTCACATGGCCACTTCTCAGTAGTGGGGAAAGAGTCCAGAATGCAGGAACGCAACCCTCACACCCTCGCAGGTCCACAGTGTTCACCACGTGGGCGAAGGGGCCGAGGGGAAGACACCCGGTGAACCTTGGCTAACGTTTTAATTTTTCTGTAGACGAGATCTCACTCTGTTGCCCAGACTAGTCTCAAACTTCTGACCTCAAGCAATCCTCTGCCTTGGCCTCCCAAAATAATCACATATGTTCAGCTTATAGTTTAATTTTTCCTTAAACTGTATCAATTAATAGTAAAGCTAGCAGAACAGACAGTGAAATTCAGAAGACCACAGGGCACTGGATTCCAGCTGAACTTGCATTACAGCATCGGGGCTACCAGTAAGAACGTCCGCTCCCAGGCCCCTGCACCTCCTAGAGACTCTCACTTAGTAAGTCTGGGGCAAGGCCAGGAAGCTCCAACTACCCCCACCCAACACACACACACACACACCTTCCAGCTAACTCTGAAACACCCTGACTGGAGATCATCTAACCCAGCCTCTTCGTTGTGTGGAAAAGGGAAGAAGGTCCAGCCAGAAGCAATTCATCCAAGCCCCAAGGCACAGATGGGATGTGATATGAAGGTCCCCACTCGCCACACAACACTGCCGCCTCCCATCAGGAGTCACCGACCACACCACACAGGCTGAGTGTCCCTTAGAAGAGATTTTTGGGACCTGAAGTGCTGCGGATTTTTTCTGATTTTGGAACATCTGTATATACGTAATGAGATATGTTGGGATAGGACCCAGGTCTGAACAGGAAATTCATGTATGTTTCATATACACCTTATACACACAGCCTGAGGGTAATTTTGTGCGGTATTTTTGATAATGTTGTGTATGAAACAAGGTTTGTGTCCATCAAGCCATTAGAAAGCAAAGGTGTCACCAGCTCAGCGATGCCTGGGGCATCACATCCGTGCAAAAGGTTTCCAATTCTGGAGCATCTGGAAAGGGATGCTCAACCCGCACTGTCACTCCTTCACTCACTCATCATTAAAAACTCAGGGTGTAAAGAGGACAATAAAACAAAACAAAGGAAACAAACTCAGGGTGATCTAGAAATAAATATTGCTGCCATGACACTTTTCTATTCCCTTCCAAAGTTAAAACCTCCTGTGAAAGGTCCTGTTCTGATAAACTCCTCCACTCATGCTGGGCAGCACCCTAGACATGCAAGTACAGAGAGGGGTCCTAGCCCTGAGCCACGGTGCAGCAGGCCCCAAGCGAGGCAGGGCCGGAAAGACCAAGCCAGCACCTAGCCGTGATGACCACGCACACAGGGCGAGGCGAGAGAGAAGCCATCCTCCAAGGGCAGACAGTCTGGGCGCACCGAGGAGAAGAGGAGAGCGAGGGACAAGAACAGCACAACAGCGACTATCACAGCCTCCACGGTGACCCCACAGGCTGCAATGGCGGCCCCCACTGCCAGGACTTGCCACGCAGCGCATGTCATCCTAAACACCACTGCTCTGAGGAAGGCTCTGTTACAATTCTCACAGGTAGATGAGGGAGTGGGGGCACAGAGAAGCTACGTAACTTGTCTACCAGCACACAGCCAATTAACAGCAAAGGTGGATTTGAACCCGGGCTATTCTTGGCTTACCCACACTTACATGGATTCATAGAGGAAGGGCCTGAGACAGCAAGACACCACGCCACCTTCTCCACCTGGGACCTGCCCCCACAGGCGCCTGCCCACCTCACACCCTCCCAGAGTCATCATGTCCCAGCAGCCTCCCCCCACCACCACCTCACAGTGCCCACAGGTGCGGAACACCCACCCAGCACCCCCTCTCCCACCACATCAGGGACACACACACCAGACGATCTGATCCCTGCCCTCCAAGACACACCCATGCAGACCCGCACTGGCCATCCCTGCATCCAGCCACCTCCACCACTCACCTGAGGGGCCCTCCAAGAGGTGAGTGGTCACTCTTCCCAGACCTTCCCCGGACCCAGACCAGACTGGACCTGCCCACCCTGGACACGGCAGGACATGGTGCCAAAGGGAGTGAGCAGATTCTGGAATCACGAAGGCCACTTCCAGGCCATTTTACTGAGCCACCAGTCAATACCTTTCCACACTTCCCTTCCTGGGGTGCAGGGTGGGCTGGAGACAGCCCTTGCCTTAGCCTCCCAGGTCCCAGCTCCTCCCCCACACAGTTCCCGGCAACAGACACCTGCCATTCAGCAGTGTTGCGGGTACCAACTGCGTGCGGGACTCTGCGCAGGCTCAGGCTGTAACATAAGGAAAACAGTCCCTTCCAGGAAGACCTCTCGGCCTTCAACAAAGGGCCTGGGAGGGGACAGGTAACCCAGGACACAAACAGATGACAGCACATCCTGAGAGAGTGGCTCCCAGCCCTGAACAGCGCCAGCCGCTTCCCAGAGCTCAAGGCAGACAAGAATCTTCGAATGCAAAGGGCCCACCAAGCCCTGAGCAGGGAGATGAAAAAAGTCCCACAAAACTTTCAGAAGAAAAAGACAAGTCTCACACAAAGGCATGAGAATCTGCCGCCAGACACCTGAGAACACAGAGCCTGCAGGTGCGTGGGCCTTAGGCAGCCAGGTGGTGGCCTGGGGAGATCATCACAGGGCTGCACAGGCCACCCAGAGCACGCAGCGCCACGGACCAGCTGTTCTCCCCACGCACCTCGCACCCCGGCCGCCCGTGGAAATAAGTACGAATCGCTAGCCCCGCTCCAAGACTTACAATCTGCAAATGGGGAGGGTGCCTCACCATTTCAGTGCCATGGCCCGCCTGCAGCAAGGGGAGTGCTGAGCTAACATGCTTCACATCTGAATCTGCCCCAAGTCCTGTGACAGCGAACAGAATCTCTCTCATCGAGGACACACCCTCTTACTAACGCCGGCTGTAGAGATCGTCACGTTTCTTTCTGTTCACCTCCAGAAGTGCACCGGCCCTGTCTGGCCGAAAATTGGGGTGCTGCAGGCACTGGGAGGAACACAGCAGATGCAGACCTGCAATTCCCCAACCAGCTCAGGGCCAGTGCCCTAGCAGCACCAGACGGACAGGTGCTCTGTGCACACAGCCCCTGGGCCCAGAGCTGCCCGCACACCTGACCGCATGGTCCTGGGGCAGTTCACCAAGGCACCACCCCAAGAATCCCACAAACACCAACCATGCTTCCTAAGCCTCTGCACGTTTCCTCTGCCCGGGCGCCCCCAGACATCCTGGTGAGTCCGGCTGGAGCCCAAATACACCAGGTAAGGAAAATATCCCCTGCTGTCTCTAAAAGACTTTTTGGAACTTTGGGAAGAAGGAAGGACCCTTTTTAAAAAGACTGTTTGTCAGGCAGAACCTTCTGAGTGTAGAATTTCACATCTCCTGCCCAAATACCAGGGCACTTAAAAGAGTTCTGCGAACACAAGGAAACAGACTGCTGTCCGTCCACACATTCCACAGTGGGGAGTGCCCTCTCCATGCTAGGCACAGTTCTAGGCACGAGCAGAGGCCACGAGGCCTCGGGGTTGGCACACCCATGGCCCGGGGCAGGTGCGCGATCCACGCCTGCCGAGTCAGGGAAGGAAGGAAGGGTGCCAAGAACCTATTTGGCTGAAACATTCTTAACTTTCTCTAAGTATCTGAATGTAATTATTTCTATGCATGTTTTCTACATTTTCTAAAAATAACAAATATTACTTTTGTACTAAAAAAGTAAAAGTAAGAGGGTTGATGAGGTTTTACATGAAAGCCATCGTAATCATGAATAAAATACCTAATTGCCAGTTTTACAAAAATCCACCTGGCCTTCTCTGTTCAGACCCACGGCAATCCCACCCCAGGCTGGCTCGCTGGAGACGGACCTCACGCCGTGTGCACACGCTCCGCAGTGTGGCCTGTCCCCAGCGGTGCACAGGCCCACGTCCAAGACAGTCTGCCTAAGAGCAAGACGCATCGGCAAAGGCCATATCCCAGGACAGAAAAGCAGCTGGAGCGTGTCGTTCCATAAAGCTCCTAAGCTGGTGGGGAGAGGCAGTTAAGAGGTGTGAATGATGGGCTCACCCCAAACCCCGCATCCGTCAATAAGAGCTTGGTCAGCACCAACTCAGAAAAGAGAGCGACGTGATGAGAGAAACCAAACATCGGAAACTGATGAAAACTCACCCCGGCACATTTCTTAGTTGCCTACGGTGAGGGGCTAGAAAGAAGCCTCCAAAAAAGCACCTGGAATCCACCGTCACTCCCTGACCCCAAGCCCCACCACCCCATCACCCCATCACCCCTCTACCCAGCCCAACCCAGCTCCTCCAGCGAGGGCTGTTGCTACTTGCCGGGTTCATAAGGCAAGAACTGTGTTGTTCCCACCCACCAGCGTCCCCCAGGACATTCCCCACCCAAACAGAAGCAGAGTGCCACAGAGGGTGGGCTCAGACGCCCGGGACCACTCCCTGCTGCCTGCTCAGTCCCCTGCACCAGTTACTGCCTCCCCAGACACCCGTGCAGTGACCCTGAGGCTTCGGTGCTGAAGCAGACCGACAGCTATTTGTGTTTAAGGAAGGAAACGTCATCAAGGCCAGTGCCTGACTGAGGAACAGAGGGTGCCATGTGTCTACAACAAGGCAGGACAGGAGCCCAAACATTCAACTCCAGTTATGCTAAAGAAATCTAGATGACACAGGGGTGGAAAGGCTGTGCCGCTTAGCGAGTGGGACTTCCCAAGTCAGCCTTTATCCCCACACTCACACTCCCCATGGTGGAGTGACACCTGCATGCGTCTCCTCGTCTCCATACCCTCCCCTAAACTCATGTCATCGTCATTGCACCTCCTGCCACCGACTCTCCTCTGAGCAGCCCACTGCCCCATGGCCCCCAATGCTCCAGTCAGCCAGTTCCTCCTTCCGCTTCTGTCCAAGGCAAGCCTGCTGTGCATGTGACATCAGAAAGGTGCTGTGTGCTGAGGTACAGCAAGACGGCTGGAGCCCCTGTAAAGAGATGAAGATGGGCCTCCCAGACTCTCATGGAGCAACCAGGCCCCAAGAAGCTTATGGGCATGACTCCTCACCCTTCAGGACCCCGAGGCAGAGCAGGGCTCATCTCAGAGGGATACCAGGTATGGCTCGTGCCTGATGGAAGGGACACCAGTGAGACTCCCAGGAGGCCCATAAACTTAGAACTATCACTGCCAGCTTGAACTACAAGGGTCAGAGTTAGTACAAAATAAAAAGTGGGTGCTGAACCCCAAAATCCTACTGGCAGGAAGCAGGCTGAGGAAACCACTCAACTGCAAGCAGGTGCTGTGTCTCAGACAAAGGGAAGCATGAGTCAGAGAGAGGACTCAAAGCCTCTGAGGGCAGAGGGACAGTTAACAATCCCCAATCGTGACACCTGAACAAGGAACTGCCCTATCTGCCAAGCTGGGTCTCAGAAGTGAGGCACGCCTGAGGCTCCTTTCTGCCTCCATTTTCCCTCATTCTGAACAGGCAGGTCTGGCCTGCGGTGCTTGCCATGATGGCACCGTGGCTGTGGGTGGATGAGCTGACAGCATGTCTCTCTAGTTCAGGTCAACAGACCGGGGTACCGTGCACCCCAGGAGCTGCACCTCAGCCCACCTAGAGCCAGTTTCGAGGATGACGCAGGGCTCTGAGCAGATGCTGTCACAAAAGGATCTTGTGGGGAGTGTATCTTGTATGTGGGAGGGACGTGAATCTCTGGGACCAGCAGGTGCATGGTGACAGGTGGCCTCTGAGATGGCCCCCATGACACCACCTCCTGGTCATCCTGCCCCTGCAGTCCCTCCCCTGGGTTGTGGGCTGGACCTAGCAACTGGCTTCTAACAAACAGAATGTGCAAAAGAGATGGGTGTCACTTCCAAGATGAGGTTACCAAAAGACCATGGCTTTTGTCTCGCTCATGCTCTCCCTCACTCGCTCTCAGGGAACTCACTGCCCAGCTGTGAGCTGCCCAAAGAAGCCACCCACATGACAAGGAACGGATGTCTCTGGCCAACAGAGCGAGGACGTGAAGTCTTCCAACAGCGATATTACCAACCCTGGAAGTGGATCTTCTGAGGCTGCCGGCAGCCACACGAGTGTGCATGGAAGTGAATCCTCACCACGCAGCCCTGGCCGACGCCTTGATCACAGCCCTGCGTGAGCGTCACCAGGACTCCTGACCCCAGAAGCCTTGCAGCTACAGACAGAGAGTGCTGCACAGCGGCAGCAAACCAACGTGCCACGTGATGCAAAATAGCTCCAGGGTCGTTTGACTTGCTGCCGTTCCTGCTATAAGCACAAAATGGCGCTGTACTTACTTCTAGGTGGCAATGTATAGCAGGTGGTTTCAAAAATGGTCTCTGAAATCTACTCTGTGAGGAGGTGATTAAGGAAATCACGCCGGATACACCAGAGACAAACACTACAGAATGGGGAAAAGTGGCTAAAAAGAAGCCGAACTGATCATAATCTCACAAGCAAAGTCTAATTATCCCATTTTATAAATGACGAAACCGAGGCTCCGGCACCACGACTGGAGGCAGTTAGGATTCGAAGCCAGGCTGGCTGACTGCAGTCCGGGCTCTCCAGTGTGGCCCCGGCTGCCTCCCTCTCCACCAGCACACGCCTGGGAGAAAGCGGCCTCCCTGGAAGCACACACTTCCGCTAACAAAAACTAGTTATCCGGTTCTCAGGGAGTCTGGCTCAGCTCCTGGGTAGCTTTAGTCTCCTGAATCTGAATATTAATAATCTATGTTTAGGCAGCAGGGCAGTAGCCACCAACATTATGAGTAGTTTTTGAAGAAATATGCAGTTTTTGAATAATATATTCGGCTGAACTGAAGAGTACAATACATAAAATGTCCCAGGTCAGCATTTTGTCATTATGCATAGTTTTGCGTAGGTCTTTTATAAATGTCAGTTCTTGAGGTTTTAACATTTCAAATCCAAAGAAACCAAGAGGCTGAGCATCAGGGACACACACATTAAATGCCTTAATTCCGGGCTCGTGGAGCAAATGCACTTTCTTTCTCTTCCGGAGTCAACCTCAGAAAGATCCCGCACATTGCTAGGCAGCAATACAGCGATTCGGTGCTTAGAAAAGAATTCACTCAAAAAACAATGCAGTTTTTAAAATTTGGAAGTACTGCAAATATGAATGATTAGGGGAAAGAAATGAGAGGTGAAGAAGAAATTAAAGACTGGCAACTTTCAGAATGCTTCGTTTCTTTGAACACTTGAGAAAAAGATATACACTATTACAGTCCAGCAACAGTAAAAGGAAGTAGCATTCAGACAGTCATATACAGTTGAAGAAAGAGCTGTGCTAACATCATACTAATACTAATAACATAAAGTGTGAACATTGGCTTTAGCTTCTTAGCTCCATTTTACTTTAGAGAACACAGCAGGGGCAGGTCTGTGGGGTGGGAGGAAGTCAGCCAACCAGGGAGACAAGTTGCCTTTGTTCCTCCTGCCTCCTGTTCCCCCAACTACCAGGGCAAGCTCAAGTTGTTGAGGAAGAGGAGGGGGCTTCTCCCAAGGAGGGGAAACTCTGCAGGATCCTCCAAGGACCCAGAGTCCACGAAGCAAAAGAGCCTCCAGGGACAGGGTATCTGCACAGATGCTGAAATACAGCACTGCTGGTTCCAGTGTCCTCCAGCAACGGCCACAGAGGTGAGGCTGGGGGAGCCTGCAGGCACCCTGCAGCTGTCACTCGTGTCCCCATCCAGGCGGAGGCCCTCCCACATCCTCCCTGCCTAGGTCGCCACACCAAGGCTCACCTTGCATGGTGGCCACACCTCCTGCTGGACTCCCCGCTGCACCCCACTTGCCGGCCCACCCTGCCCTCACCCTCCTCCTGCCCACAGCTGCCAGTGCTTTACCTTCCCCACTTCCTAATCCCTGCCCAAGCACCTGTCCCACTGGGTCCAGCCTCTTGAGGCTCCCTCACTAGGTCCCTCCCCAAACCTCAACATCCCCCTCAGTCAGACCCACTTCCTCACAGCCCCATGATTTTCCTGCTCACTCATTCATTCATTTATTCATTCAAGAACTGTCTCGTGGCTTCTGCAGCAGCTCCAGGTGGGCAACTACGAACAGGCAACCAGTGATGGTCCCGAACTCCCAGGGCCAGCTGCCGCGGGGTCCCAGACAGTTAGACAGCCCAATGCCACAGTGCACAGCAGGGCCAGGCCATGCAGGAGGACACCATTTGCAAAAATCACTTTCTCCTGAAACGGGTCCTCTCTCCTCCCTCCACGACTCTGAGGTTCAGCTCACAGCCCACCTCCTACCTGAAGCCCCCACTGACTCCTCCAACACCCCCAGCCCCCGGGCTCTGAGAACCTACTCACAGAGCAGGGGCCCCATACTCCGGCTGTGCCTGTCCACTCCTGGGTCGCCTCCCTTCTCATGTACAGAGACGTCGCCCCGCAGCCTTCCGGGGCTTTCTGATGTGGTGCTGTGGGTGCACACACAGGCCCCCTGCAAGGGGCAGGAGGACCCACTTCTGTAAGCAAGGGGAGCAGAGCCCACCAGTCACAAGAGAGTGGAAGGGGCTGAGCACAACGGGCCCCACCTGCCTGTGTCTCTGTGGTTTTGAAGGCCACACAACGTGAACTCCAGAAACTCCAATCCTGCAGAAGCACCACACCACAAAGACACTCAGACAAGAGCAGGAGCCAAGCCCCCAACCCCACCCACCCCAGACCACAACAGCCAGGACCCAAGCCCACAGGGCCCAAGCCACGTCACAGGCGCCAACTCGACCCTGCGGTCAGTCCAGCAGAGCCTGCACTGCGAGCTCACTCTGGGCACCGGCCTGGTGATGACCTGGCTTTGGGAAAAGTGAACAGGACACACGAAGGCCACAGCCCTCCAGAATATCCCGGTGCCCCACAGCTGATGAAATTTTCTGATTCCAGAAATAAACACTAGTTCAGTATCTTTGGAACACTGAAGGTCAAACCTCCTCAATTCTTCCTTTCCATTTGTATTTGACTTTCCCTTTTTATCTCTACTTGGTATTTACTTCCGTTTGTGGTTTTTAAATCTGCACAGAGTGAGACTATAAATGGAGTTGCCAGATTTAGCAAAAAAATAAAAAAATACAGGATACCCAGTTAAATGTGAATCTTAGATACATGACAACTTCTCAGTATGAGAGCGACCCAAATGCTGCACGGCAACACTGTACCTGGCAAGTCCAGCCCTGGAGAGAGGCTGTGTTTTAACCTGGCTCATTCCAAT